CCCCAAGACCTCTCCAAAGAAGGCGGCCCAGCCAAAGAAACGGGTCACCATGCAACAGCTGTCGGAGCAGGTTTCCACTTTAGCGGGTTTGCTTCCGGGGCTTATAGACGAGGTGAAAAATGTGGTAGAGCGCCAGGACAAGCTGGAGAAAGGAGCCGCCGCCCCTTCTGTGCCGCCGGCCCTTCATCAGCAACCCTTCCCTGCCGCCGGCACCCCTGGGGCCTCGGCCCCCCTCGGGGCTCTTGCCAAGCAGCTGCCCTCTCCTGCCAAGGTCCCGTCTCAGGTCCTAGGTTCCCCCCCGCTGAAGGTTCCCAAGGCTGTGTCCGCCAACGTCGACCAGAGCGACCCTTCTCTGGCAAGAGCCGTGACTCAGCAAGGGGAGGCCTTATCTCTTCTGGTGGCTCATCTTGTGGCCCAAGGCGAGTCCTTAGACTTTGGAGCCTTCTCAGGTTCGGTGTCAGGCAAAGGTGCCGCCCGCCGCGAGAAGCTGCAGGCCGAGCTGTCCTCAGGCTCTTCGAGCTTCTTCCTTCAGGTCCTCCAGGGTGCCCACCGTCGCCTGTACCCGGCACTCCCTTGCCCTACCAGCTTGGAAGCCATGCGCCTGCAGGGCCGGTTGTCTTTGGTGACGTATCTGGAAAGGCAGGGCGGCTACAACCAACAGCGCACCATGGGTATCTTCATGCTGCTGCTTGCGTCAATAGCGGATGCCTTCCTCCGGGACGACCCTCACGCTGCGATGGAGCACTTGGGGTTAGCCCTTGCGGCGACCGAGCAAGCCACGGCGGATGGAGGGAGATGGGACTTGGGATTCCTCTTGACCCTTTTGGAGGACCCTGCCCCCAGCATGTTCTCAGCGAAAGCCTCGCCGGCCAACAGCCGCCTTCGTGCCTTCTCGCCGCTCGTCCCGCCGGCCCTTGCATCGGTTACCCTGGCTTATGTTCGCGAAGTCGACTTGCTGTCCCAGCGCCGACGGGACACGGTGCAACCTTCCAGGGCCCCGGCCTCACCCACGGGCGAAGAGCACGATACCGGTCAGCCCGAGCCCAA